AGTCTATCTGAAGTGTACCTGGCGTATAAGACGACCCCCCACTTGGAGGCATATTTTTCAGGGCCAAAAAATCGTCTTATACGCCGGCAAATACAGTAGGTCCTGTCCTCCCTGCAGCCTCCTATACTCCCAACTGCTCACTGGAAGCTGGTGGACTGAGAGAGAGAGAGAGATTACAGATGCCAAAGTGTCCCACTGCTAAAACATCCCAAGATGAGGGAGAGTTTTCCTAGCCTTAAACAGATTTCAACAAGTACTTTTCACTGTACTCTTAAAAGCATTGCCCACCATCATGCTTATAGCAGCAATGGCCAGAGGGCCTTCAATTAAAGGCCTCAGGCAAACAGCAGCTTCCCAGCAAAGGTTTCTGGTAGCTCATCTCCATGCTAAGCCCCAGAGGTTCCTTCTCCTGTTCCATAAAGAACATTAGCTCTGTCTCTAGACAGGGCTAAGTAATGACCATCATTCAGCAAACACTTAATCAACCATCTATTCAGAGAACAGTTTCCAGATATTTAATCAGCTCGGTAGTAATTTTTAACTTTAAAAATTCAGTGATTGGACTATATCTAAGTCACAGCAATATAAACTTATAGGCCTCCTAATGTCATCATATATCCTACTATGTCCTCCAAATGAAAATTTTTAAAAATCTAGCCAAGACAGGTGACTCACCAGAAAAACCCAACCACAAATAGAGCTAAATATATTTTAGTTTTAATCCTTAGTATTGCTCTGCCCTCTCTGACAGGAAGGCCAAGATTTATCAGCTTTTATGCTGCCCCAACAGATACGGAGTAACATGACTGCTTACCTCTTAGTAACTAGGTGTCGATCCTTCATTTCTGAGCGTTCAAACCAGACATGTGGGCAAGCCTTCACCATAGCTCTTTGAATGATTCCCATCAATCCACCATGAACTTGGCCAACCTAGAAATACCATGAGAAAAAGAAAAAAATGGAAAGGCACAGCTGTCCAAGAAAGTTGTGTTTGTTTGTTTGTTTGTTTGTTTGTTTGTTTTTGTTTGTTTGTTTTAGGAAGTAAGTTCCTATTCCCTACTAAGAGAAAAGATAGGCCTTCTTTTACTGACTAAAGTTTTTAGTCTGCAGAAAGGACATGGATGGCTAAATATAAGCAAAAGGTGTCCTTAGTAGAACCTTTGAATTTTAAACTGTGGTGCTATACTAGCTATAGTCTAGCTTTAAAAAGTCAAGATAAAAAATAAAATAAAAAAAAGTCAAGATAAGGGGCCGGCTGAGTGGAGCGTTGGTTAGGAGTTGGCTTGGGACGCCAGCTCTGAGCAGCAGGGCCCTGGTTTGGATCCCACATGAGAGACAGTGATGCTGCGCCCTCTACAGCTAAGATGGTGAACAACAGCTCTACCTGGAGCTGTGCTGCCATGAGTCGCTGGCGACAGCATAGGTTGCAGTGGGGCTGCAGTGGGCTGCCATGGCTGCTGTGAGTGGACGGCAGCAGGCATGAGCTTTCGTGAGCTGCTGTGAGCAGCCGTCCAATGGCCAGCAAGCGACTGCCTCACCCAGGAAGAGCACAATGATAATACCAACATGGGCCAGTGAAGTGACATTCTCCACAACTAGACTAAAGAACAAATGGACAGCAACTTATCTGTTCTCCTTTCCCAATTCCCCAACACTGTTCCACTCCCCCAATTCCCCAATAAAATCTTAAACAACAAAAAAAGTCAAGATAAAGAGAAATGCAAATTAAAACTACATGAAATACCATTTCTCACCCATCAGATTGACAAAGACTCAAAAGCTTGACAATGCACTCCTTGCCAAGGCTATGAAAAATGAGCACTCTCACACATTGCTTGAGAGAGGGGAGATTACAATATCCATAGAAGAAAATTTGGCAATATATGTCAAAACTACATGTAAATTTATCCTTAAACTCAGTAATTCCACTTCTAGGAATTTATCCTGAAAATATACCATTTCATTCCAATAAAATGAAAATATAAATGCACAAGTTTTTAATTACAGCATTATTTAGATATTAGAAACTATGTAAATGTCCAAACATAAGAAATTAGATGAGTAAACTATGGTACATACACTCAATGGAGTACTATGCAACTGGGAAAAGAACAAGGTTGAAATTTATGACTGATAAGGAGTGATTTCCAGGAGATATTATTAAGTAGAAAAAGCAAGCTGCAAAGAGGAAATACAGTATGCTACCTTTTGTATAAGACAGGAGGGGAAACAGATACATATATTTATCTCTATAAAAATAAAGAATAACCAAAACCATTGAAATTGGAAACCTACAAGGGTAGGAGGGAATGGGGTAGAATGGACATGGGAGGGAGTGACACTTCTATGAGTATGCCTTTTTTGTTTAGTTTTGACGTTTGGAAGCATGTTAATGTCTTAAATACTAAAAAATTAAATCAACAAGGATGGGACTAGCAAACTGAAACAAATAAACCTGACTGTATTTCAAATGAATAAAATAACAACACTGAAGGAAGGGGCAGGGAGGAATCCAAAAAATGTGTAAAATCAGTATTTGACCACACACCCTACATCTTGGGTGGGTACCAAGAACTGCAAAATACCTCAAACTATTTTTACATTTGATTTTTGTAGTAAAACAGGTGAAGCAATTCTGAAACAATTTTGGATGTGTTACAGAATTAAGAAAATGAGTTGATATTGTTGGTAAATAGGACATTCACTGTAAAGAAAGGAAGATACACATGGATTGGGGGAAAGCAAGAAGGAACACGATAAATTGGTATAGAGTCAGATTTCCAATATTATATCAATGTTAGAAATAATATTAGAAATATTAAATACAAATATATTAAAAATATAAATATTTCACATGCATTTTTATGTAGGGAGACAGAGAAAGCCAGTGCATGAAAATACAAATGATAAAGCAAATGAAGCCAAATGTTATCAATAGGTAAATGCGGATAAAAGGCACAAGGATGTTCTGTGAAACATTCTTAGTTTTACACCTTCTCTGTAACGTTAGAAAATACTTCTAAATTAAAAAAAAGAAAGAGTGAAGATCTTTGTTTAAGATGAAAAAAAAACTCTGAAAAGCCACCAAGATTGGTCAAATGTGACCTCTAGAGGGGAGCAGTACAGTTTCCTCCTACTTCTGCCTTCCTGCCTCTTTAAATCCAATTGGCTTTAGGTTCCTATCATTTAACCCTTTGGAAAGTTCATAGGTACTGTGCTTTTCTAAACCGTGGCTAATAATGTAATTCCAGTTACACGCGATCAAAAAGCATGGAAAATGCCAACAAAATTCTGAGGTTCTCGGTAACAAATGAGTTGTGCTCAACGACTTGTTGACCAGGACACAGAATGAATACAGCCTCAGAAACACAAAGCCATGATTAGGCAAGTTAGTTAAAATTCCTGAACCTGTGCTTTCTCATCTATAACAAAATCTCAGCCCTAACCTCACTAAATCACAGGGAAAGTCAAATATAATGGATGTGAAAGCGCTTGTCCACAGAACTGTGAGGAATTATTATGTACACACCCAGAACTGTGTTGGGGAGTCTATCAAGAATTGTTAACATGAGGGTCCTTGGATGGGCTTTCCAAGGACCCATAAATATCTTGAAATTACACACAAAGTTGTGTTTTTTTGATGCACATGTATGTTGTGGTGGTGGTGGTTTGTTTGTTTTTTCTAAAAAAAGGGGGGAGGGGAGTACATAACTATTAACTGATTCTTAATCTAAAAAAGATTAAGAACTACCAGAACCATAGGTCTTTTCAGAGAGTTTGTTAAAGCTGCCTTAGATTCAGAAAGAGTTCCACAACTTAGAGAAATTTGAAAATGGGTTAAAATGTTGTTGTCCATGAGTTACATATCTGAACCTATATTTTAGACAGAGTAAAAAGCTGGCAATAAGTTAGAAGTGTTTATAAAGACCTTTGAAACCCCCTCAGTGATGGTGTAACCCATGGAGAGTCAAATACCGGCACGTGTACCAGAATTCCCCACCCTCCTCCCTACAGCAGACACTTAATCAATAATGGCTCCCTTGGGCATGGTGATGGATTTATGGCAGGCCCTTCTCTGTGGGCCTCTATAGTGTATCCATGCCAGAGCAGATGGCAGCCTCGAACCATAGCCCAGCCTCCTCCTGTGGGCTGCGAGCACTGAAGGTGGCCGTACAGGGTGAAAAAATAAAAAAAAAATAATGGCTCCCTTCAAATGCGCCCCCAGAAAAGTACACCAAACTATGACTATCAGTCACTGGAACTGACAAGTGAAAAAATTCCATCTGCTCTCCCTAAAGACCAAGGCACCATCATGAGAGATGATAGAAGATTCTCCAGGGCTCCTCTCTATCATTCTATTCCACATACCACAGGGCACATCTACCACCATGCAGGAAAGGACATTTTTAATTATCCTCCAAAATTTACCTGACACAGACATAAAGGAGATGAAGAAAATCTTAAGTTTTTAAGGGCGATAGAAAACAGATTTGAAAAAAATGTATGTGGTTCATACCATGAAAAGATCTTTTGAGGTGTTTGGTTTTACTGTGGGCTTTGTGGTGTGTTGTATGCTTTTGTTTTGTTGTGTTTTGGTTTTTATTGTTTTCTTTCCTTTGGGGGCTGTAGGAAAGAACTAAGAAAGGCAATGTGGTACAAATAAATATTTGCCTTTCTTGCTTGATCTTCATTAAAGAGCCAGATTTTTTTTTAATTGTATATGACTCCCTGAACAAGACAGAATTAACTGGCTGATAAGGGATTTATTTGCACAACTCTAAGGAGGAAGATTTTAATGCCTCCAAATGTTATTAAACATCACAGGGATTTTAGAAGCAAGATGGAATCAACTTCATGAAATCCCATCAAGCTTAAGTATGTCTACATTTCAGTAAGTTAAATTTTTATTTCCTTAAATATAATGGCCTTTTCCTTTCTTTTTCTTGCACTATATATTCCTCATGTAAATATACTATATAACCTACACAGCTACAGTAGTATGACCCAGTCACTTTCTAATATAAAATTAACTTTTTAATGTGTGCCAAAATAAGTTAAAAGTTTGAGCAATCCACAAAACATACAACTCCTTAAAATATCAACGAGCTGATCTTACCATAGCATAGCATCCATCTGTTGTCAAGATCAAAACATCTATTGGGGAGGTATGGTTGGCAACACAAATGCCTCCCTTTTGTGGTCTGTATTGCCTGCAATTATATACAATGGTAAATATTAAACCTTGAAAAATGGCCACTACTTTGCAGAACAGCATGTAGAGATTTTATCCTATTTTGTTTTAAAAAGTCCATTAAACAAATAAAGTTTTGAAATACATGGGCCCATTTCTAGGCTATAATGATGGGGTTGGGGTAAGAGTATAGGAGAAAGGAACCCTGATTTTCCCTTTACATATATTTGTTATTTTTTGTAAGATTCATATTTTCCTTTTATGATGAAAAAATAACTTCAAATATTAGACTGAATCTCAAAGATTCAATAAGTTTAATAAATTTTGTGATATGTAAGTTTCATTTATTTTATTCTAAGCATTTTCGTATTACTTCAGTCTTCATAAGCATCACTTTAGAGGCTTCATGGTGATCCACAGAGTAAATTTACTATATAGTTCCCTTCCTCCCTCCTATGCCCCTAAAGCAGAGGTTGGCAAGCTTTTCCTATCATGGGTGAGGTAGTAAATACTTTAGGCTTTGAAAGCCAGCCAATCCCTGTCAAAACTATGGACCCTGCTGTTTTGGCACAAAGGCAGCCTCAGACCATATGTAAATGAATGAGCATGGCTGTGTTGCAATAAAACTTTATTTTAAAAAAAACAAACCAAGGGCCGAGAGGCTCAGTTGGTTAAGAGCTCACTCAAGTGTTTGAGCTCTGGGCTGGCCTAGTGGCGCGTTGGTTAAGAACTGGCTTGGGATGCCTGAGGGCCCCTGTTCGGATCCAACATATGAGGGCCAGTGACACTGCCCTCTGCAGCTAAGATGGTGAATGGCAGCTCGACCTGGGACTGAGCTGCCGTGGGTCCCCGACGACGGCATAGACTGCAGTCCCCTGCTGCAGTGGGTTGCCATAAGCTACCGTGTATAGCCAGCAGCCAGTGTGAGCGGCCAGCAGCCGCGGTGAGCGGCCATCCAGAAGCCGGCGACTGATCTGCCTTGCCTGGGAAGAGCACAATGATGGTGCCAGCTTGGACCAGTGAAGCAACATCCTCCACAACTAGACTGAAGAACAAAACAGCAACTTGTCTGTTCCCCTTCCCCCAATTCCCCAACACTGTTCCCCTCTCCCAATTCCCCAATAAAATCTTAAAAAAAAAAGAGTTTGAGCTCTGAGCAACAGCAGTTCGAGTCCCGGCCCAAGCTGAGCTGCTGCTGAGCTGCCAACAGGTGGTAGGATGGCTCAGCTAAAAAAATAAAATTTAAAAAAATAAATAAAATAACAGATGGCAGTTTCCATTGGGACTATGAGCCAATAGTTTGGTTTGCCAACCTCTGTCCTAGAGTTCAACCAGTATTTGACACTAATGAAGCAAAGTAGATTTCTTTGGGCCTGAATGGAAAAGACAGGAGAACAAATGCATAACAACTTTAGCATTGTTCCTTAAAATTAGAAGCAATTCTATAAAGTTATGAACGTCTATGTAATTAAAGCACTTTTCTGTAAAAGGTTAGCTCCTCGGCTCACACATCTACCAAAGCATTTTTTTCTACTCCTCACCCTCGAATTCATAGCTCAATCACAAAATCATATAATTTTAGAAATGTAAGGGGTCTCTGATGTTGGCAACACATGGGAAAGTCAAATGATAAAATGTTTCCTTTCTACAAATGAGACAGAAAGATCCAGTAAAAAATAGACCTGTCCTAGAACTTTTAAAACAATGATGTTAAATGTAAAAATAACAATAAAAAAGATACTTAACAGAAAGTAATTCAAAACAATCAAAATTACTTTCACTTAGGTAATAATTTCACTTAGCTACCTTTATCCTCTATGATTAGGGATGAGAGAAGCCGAAAGTCATGTTCTGTTTTAAGGCTCTCTTTATAGAATTTCAGACGTGGCTGGACGGAGACTGGAAACCAGGCCTCTAGTCTCCGAGTCTAGTCCTTTCTCCACCATACTACAGGCCTGTCACCTTCATCACTGTTTAAATAAGACAGGCCCAGTTCAAAATCTGCTCCATTTTAGCTATGTGACCACGGACAACCAATTTCAGAGCCTCCATTCCTCACCTGTAAAACAGGATAGCAGCGCCTCTAACAGGGATGACCTACGGGAAGCATAAATGCCCAATAACTGTCATTACATGTTTATTAGTATGTTCCTTCTCTAAATGGACTTTTTAAAAGTGTTTTTGTGCATTGTTATGTCTGTAACAGTCTAAGCAGTAGAGATGAACACACAGGAAGTACTCTTATTTCGTCTGCTTCCTCCCACCCACTGCTGTCTATCACATACTGGATGTACCCAGAGAAAGGCAGGCAGGAAGCCAGCAGACACTCACTTGTTATGATAATGAATGGTACCAGAGAGGGCTCGCACACAGATCCGGCAGCAAGTCAGGTGGACTAGTTCACTCAACCAGTTTTTGAGGCTGAAGGAAAGAACACATTTTATTGTGCAGTTCTGAGCACTCCTAAGAAATAATACAATAAAAGCTTCAGTGTGCTCCTTCACAGCAGCATATTGTGTTCTGAAACAGAGGCACGGTTCAATTCTTATAGTCTCACCGAAGCATTTAGGACAAAATTCTAACGAAAAATAGCTCCCACCCGACTAGGCTATCATGATAAATTCCTGACCAAGATAAGTTGACGCCTCTTTGGTCTCCGCTTTATGAGTTGGACAATACTAGAAGACTCTCTTGCTTTCCTTGAACTCCTCAGTCCACTTTTTTCCTACTCTTTTTTTCCTCTTTGAGAAAAACAAATTCTTACAATTGATATGAAAGTATGATGGAAAATCAAATAAAGACTATGACTATGGAGTAAGCAGGATTTTAACAATTGTGTCGAGGCCATAAATTTGATGCAATACATAAGAATCAAACAAATGTTCTCTTTGTGGATACAGCTAAGAAAAGGGACAATCCTGTTTACAGTGGAAGGAAACATTTTACCTGCTGTCCGGCAGCTGCCCAACCAGTGTAGTTCCAATAACCAACAAACTGATCCCAATGAAAGCCAAGGTAACCCTGAAAAAGAAAAGGTAGTGCAAAAGTTTAGTTGAATAGCAGGGGTAAAGGAATATAACCTCAAAGTTCATAAGGAATGAAATTGTAAATAAGTTGGGGAGCACCTATGCTATGGAATATGGGACAGCCATTAAAAGAATTGAGTAAGTCTGTAGAGTCTGACATGAAAGAATGGTCCTTGATACATTTTGAGAGCAAAAAAGCAATGTTTCAAAATAATAGATAGAGAAGATCATTTTCTAAATAACAGCAAGCACATAACTAGTGTACAGATGCATAGGGAAGGCCTGGAAATTGGTTCACAAAACTGTCAAGTTCAATCTATGTAATCATCAAAGAGGTAAGTAGGCTAATGATGGAAATAAATTAAAAGTCTTTCCCTTCTGCTTTTCTGAATTATTATAATTGTTAAATTATTCTGAATCATTTTAAATGTACACATTAACTTCTTGTATGATATAAGAAAAAAGTTTTATGTTGTATTGAGGAGTCATTTCAGGTTGAAAGTCATCTTTTTTTGTTCAGGATACTCTGGTATGGATGATATGGTTGTAAAAGGAAATATCTTGAAATGGTTTGAAAATAACTTGTTTTTCTATATTTTTTTAATGACAGGGAACAACAAGCTACAATTCAAATTTTTCTCTAAGGAATTTAAAATTTATAGCAAATGGAAAGAAAGTTAGACTTAAGTCTCTCTTATAATAAGAACATCAAATTGTATCACCGTGTAGGAATTTCTTAATGCACATCTAACTTGTCCCTTTGTATGATTCAAGATAACTTGGAAGTTAGTAAACAAGATGCCTGACTATACTGCTAATCTCCACACAGACACTTCCTCATTTTTGAAAAGTGCTTTTAATATACCTTCCAATCACTTCAAAAAGAAAACACTCAGTTTTAGAGACATAAATAGAATTACTCAAAAAAGAAACAGTTGAGATTTTAAATCTTTCCAAATAAATAGGGCATCCTTATAAAACCCTTATTAAGGTGTTAAATTCTTGATTTAAAATGTTTTGACACAGCAATTTAAAGGTCAGACTCAGTTTTCTTTAGATGCCATATTTTCATGTCAGTCACTGATGTAATAACAAAATCACTGTTTTAATTGCATCCATCAATTATGCAGAAGTTTTTAAATGTTTTACCCTCTTGCCCTAATGAGAATCACTTGTTCCTACACATTAAATCAGAAGGAGTTACATTTTATCATGTCTAACAATTGTGTTCAAAGTGATTGAAAGTTTTTATTTGATAGATTAACAGGTCAGAAAATTCTGTTTCCCAGTTTAAGGGAGACAGCATGAGAGTTCTCATAGATGACACAAGGTTCCAACAATAATCTGTTTTTTTTAAGAGCTTTACTGAGCTACACAATTCACATACTATAAATTTCACCCATTTAAAATCTACAACTAAGTGATTTTTGTCATATTCACAGAGTTGTGTAACCATCAACACAGTCAATTTTAGCACAATCTGTTTTTTAAATGTTCACTTAGCAGCAACTCCTTCTTTTCAAAACCATTTACAAAGCAATTCTTTCATAATGAAGCCTATGTACTAAAAGTAGGAATCCCAATTCTCCACCTTGTTCTTGGGTGCTTACATTACTGGATTATCTTAAATCTGTTGTTTCTTTGCAAGAATCTTTTATGTCACTTATCTATTTTGTGAGCATTAGTTAGGTTTAAACTAGATAATAGAATCATAATACCATTCGCTGGGCACCCACGGCATCTGAAAGCTAACCAACAAATGAGGGATCTCATGTACTCTGTGTTATAAAATCCTCACTCTTCCCTCAGGATGCCTTGGATAAGGTGCTTGCCCCATGGATCATGTGAAGATGTAAGAGCTAAACTATATATTCAACTTCACTGAAGTTTTGCTTCTTTTTAAGAATAAAAACAGAATGGGAGCTTTAATTATAAATAGATTAGAAAGTGCTAATAAATAAAAGCTCAAATATTTCCTTCTTACACACCAGTGGATAGTCTTGTGCATCCCCGGAGTATATGAACTCCACTTTGGGAAGACTGGCATAAGGTTCGAGCAAAAGTGTATGTGAAACCCTGAATTTCACTTTGTTATCACAGCTGAAATGATTCCCAAAAGACGTACCATGCCCCCAAATCTAGACACTGGTCACATGGGCACAAGGAAACAGAAAGGGCTTCTTAGAAACGTGCCTTTGCCTACACTTAAGCAATCTCTTCCCTTGTAATACATCTGAGTGAGGCAAGTATAAACCACCCTAGGGATGGTAAAGAGGTTTCAACTCATGTGCCAATTTTGTTGGCTGGTAGCAACTGCCCGGAAAGCTCTATCGAGAGGATGTCAAGGCCATGTCCAGGGAAATGAAGCAAGACAATTAACAGAAATGTTGTGATTGGCACACATGTTTACTACCTGCTACCACTATGCTAAAAAGACCTTGGCCACTTGCACTTCATCCCACTGCCCAGTGTCACCTGTTCTACTCTTGTGTTCCATACCACAGTTTCAGTCAACTGGGGCGTAAAGGCACCTCCTCATCAGGTGGCACTCAAAGTTAGAACCAGAAGGAGACCCAGCTGGGGAACCTTTAATAAGAAAAGTGCATGATCGTAATGGAATTGGATAGAACAAACTCACTCTTCTGGCGGCTCTCTCCCACGTGGTACACACTCTCGGGAATTTTTTTCTCTTCTGTGCAGCTATGAACTGCTACAGACCAGCAAAGAGAGGTAGTCACCTGACACACAGGTGAATGAAAAACTGTAAATCCTCTCTCTCCTTTTTTCTCACTTCTCTTTTCTATCCATCCTCAAATAACCTGAGACTGAAAGAGTAACGTGGATCCAGACCAATATACATTGGATTCTGAATACACAGACACACCTTCATTTGGGAAATAATGTGAAAGAATAGATACATAATACTTTCCTATGGTGGTCATATTTCATGGTGTTTTCTAAGTGGAAAGGAGTGAGATTAGTATCATAATACTCTCATGTGGCCAATACATAACATGATTTTAAAAGAAAGCTGAACCAATTATACCATCAAAAATACTGGGCAGGAGACATACCTCAGGGGTAGTAGAAAACAGTAGCGTATTATGACACCCAGCACCCACACCATGGTGAGCCGCAGACTGATGTACTGGAAATTTATATTGGTCCTTGTAAGGAGATTCCATGATACTAGCTCCTCGGAGGAGAACCTCTGGGTCACTTCATCTTCCACAATGGCTTCCAATCCCTTCTTGGAGAAATAAAACGCATCAGACAGCTCAAAGTCCCTTCCTCGCAGACCAGAGAGCCCTTTTTCCATGGGTGACTCATCTCTTTGGATAATACCTTAAAAGAAAGCATCAAGATATGAGAAAATGCCATAGGACATAAGAACAACAGACCAAAGGGGCAACTGTGCAGAAGAATGTAACTAAATTTAATGGGTAGCATGAAGCAGATTTCAGAAATATAAAACAAGCAACTACAGTAGGAAAGAGGTGACATTACTGAGTCTGCATGACATAGCCTCTACTCGATGATTTCAGCTCATTCCAGAGGAATTTGGGTCCTTAATAAACCTCCGGCTTGTATTTCCTCCCTATACCCCATTAGGGAAAGAACTCACAGAAACAAAAACAAACTCTCCCCAAGTATAGATCTAAAATAAAGAGTTCTGTTTTCCCCTGACAAAAACAATAAAGCCAAAAAGCAAGCAAAATGGCAAAAGATATTTACCACAAATGGCAAATGGTTGATGTTTTTAGTATACAAAAATTATCTAATAAGAAAAACACAGCCCCCTCAGAAAAGTAAGCAAAGCTTATGAACTTAATTCATAAAAGCAACATAAATAGCTAATAAATATATTAAAATCTTTTTTCTAGTAGTCAAAGAAAAGTGAATTAGATAAAGACTGGCCTATTTACATTATTAAATCAGCATTTTTGTTTAATGATAAATTTCAATGTCAGAAATAATACAGGTACTCTCATACTCGATTTGTATGAATATGGAACTTATTCATAAGAATTTTGTCAAAATCTGTTTGTCATGAAGAGACTATAGTTTTGCTGATGATTCAGTCATTCCAATTCTAGGAATCTGTCATAAGAAAATAATCAGAAATGTAGGCAAGAGTGTTCACTGTAGCATTTTCATTATAGTCAATTCAGACAATGAGATATAATACATCCATTAATAAATACTCTAATGTTAAGTGAAAAAGGCAGAATCTAAAACTATAGTTTAACTCTATGAAATATATATATTCATACATATATATATGTATACACACACACACACACACACACACACAGAAAAAAAAGTCAAGAAGGAAACATTAAGTGGTTATCTCTGCAATTAGATTTTCCTCTTTATACTGTTATTCAATAAAGAAAATAATTCAGAGATTTTTATAGTATAAATTTTGTGAATTGAAAAATAACTACTGCCACCCAGTTCTAACTACTGAATAAGAATAATAGATGAGAAGAGCTTTGAAGAATAACGAGTAGCTATATAATGACTATCCATTTGTTCCTCTGGGGTCTGTTACAAAAGAATTCATTTCCTACATTAGAAAAGTCTGTTCTTTTAAGGTGACTAAGATGTTAAATTCCCTGACAGAAGAGCCCCTCTGATTTTCTCACTTCCCAGTTTCCTAGGAAATGAATGAGGAAAGTGGAGAGTGCTATATATTATTTATTCTCTGGAGAACTTGTATGTACATCCATATAAGGAATTGTAATATATCAGTTTTTTTTTTTTTTATGGAATGGCAGCATAATGCACTGGAGTAGAAAGTTAAAGAGGACCTGGAATCCAAAGTCAAGTTCTGTTGAGGACAACCACCAGCTCTATGACTGTGGCTAATAGATAAGTCACATAACTTCCTTTATAAAATGGGGAAGTGGAGATGGGATAATCTCTATTTCTTTTCAGGGCTAAAGTTTTATGATTTTACTTTTGGGGTTTGGGGTGGTTTTTGTTTGTTTTTGCCCACATGCAAAGCTAATATCTAATCACCTTAAAAATTAGCGCAATAAAGACCTTCAATGATCATTAGATTATCTTTATTAGTAGTCAAGTCTAAGTGGTTTAACCTTTCTCCACAATCTCTGCAAAGGGTTTAATTAGTATTAGAGAATGAACCAAGATGGTATTTAATACCATCTTGTTCTTAGACACTGCCCTACCACTCAGAACAAGTTACTCAATCCAAGAACTGGTCAGTTTCTAGCCATGTAGTTTCATTATTTAGCAATATATAGATTTTTTTTTTAAGTCTAGAAAAGGACGGAAGAACAAGTTATTCAGCAAATCTCTGAATGAAACACTCTGGAGACTTTGGACAGCCCTTCTAAAAATAACCTTTTTCAGAGAGGCCAGAGATAAAAATGCAAGTTCAAGTTGCCTCATATCATTTAACTGAGCCAGGAGAGAAGAGATCGCTAAACAGACGCCAGCCAGCCCCCTACCTCTTGCACACTTGATATGCAATATTTGCTCTGCCCTCTGACCTACTTTATTCTGGGTAACTAACTAAAATATAGCTCAGTTTTCTATTTTTGTTAAGCCTCTTTTAAAAGTATGTGGGTAACTGCAATGCATCTCATTGGCAAAAGCTTAATTTTCAGAATATATTAAGACATACAAAAAAAAAATAAGAAAAAGTCAAAGGACCCAGTAAAAAAAAATTAGATAGGTATATGGCAAGCAATTCATAAAAAGAGTAAGTCTTAAAGACCAAACATTTAAAAGATGTTCAACTTCACTATAATGAGAGAAATATGCACTGAAACTCCGATGAGATACTATTTCATGTCCATAAATACTGATAAAAATATTAAATTGAACAATATCAAGTGTTGGTGATGATTCGGAGCAATGGAATATAATTAGTATGCCCACACTGGAAAACAATTTGGCACTGTCTAGTAAATTTAAAGATATCCATAGCTCAAGACCCAGCACTTCAACTTCCAGGTATACTTCAGGAAGATTTTTATTTAGTAATTTCAAACAGACAGAATCGCAGTAATAGTTCACTTTGCTCAGATTTACTAATTACCAACATTTTGACACATTTGCTTTATTGTTCTCTCTATATGTATAAACAGATACTTCTTTTTCTGAAATACTTGAGAATAAATTATAGACATCATATCCTTTACCCCCAAATATTTCAGCAGAGATTTCCTTAGGGCACAGAACTTCACTTATTTAATCACAGTACAATGATCAAAATCAGAAAAATGTCAGTAATTGACAATACTGTAATACTAGTATCTGATCTATAGACCTTATTCAGATTTTGACAATTATCCCAATAGTGTCCTCCATAGGATTTTTTTCTGGTCCAGGAGTGAATCCAGAGTCATATATTACATTTATAGATCAAGTCTCTTTAGTCCCTTTAATACACAAAGGCTCCACAGCCTTTCCTTGATTTTCAAGATATTGACATTATTTAAGAGTACAAGCCATGTATTTTGTAGAATGTCTCTTAATTTGGGTTAATTTGATGTCCCTTCATGATTAGAGGCAAACTGTATACACTTTGGGCAGAAATAGTATGTATGTGATGACGCATCCTTCTCGGTGCATCACATCAGGAGGCACATGATATCAGTCCCATGATTGGCTACATTGAACTTTGATCACTTGGTTTAAGGTAGTTAGTACTTACCAGGTTTCTCCACTGTAACGTTAGTGCTTTACTCTTTTTGATTAATAAGTTGATACTTATGATCTACAACTATCTATAAAGGGGAGATACTTTGACATGATGGAAATATCCTGCTCCTCAAACTTTCACCCAATGGTATTAGCAACTATTGACGATTCTTGCCTGAATGAAGTAGGACTGTGTGTCTTTTAAAATAGTATTTTATCACGCCTTCATTCTTTCCTCACTTATTATTTTGCATTCCTTAAGGAAGATATTTTTACTTATACTCTAGAGAGATTCTTATAAAATTGTGCACAAGTAGACATATATAAGACTGTTTTGCTACATTGTTTGCAATAGCAAAATAGTGTAATCAAGCTAAAGGCTCATTACATAAATGGATATATAGCAATACATGCAAATATTGAATCATTATGTTGTATACTTGAAACTAATTATCTTTATATCAATTATATTCCAAATAAATAAATAAATAATGAAAAACAGCTCATACAAAAAAAAAGAAGATGGATATATACAGTGCATACTACACAGGAGTTAAAAGAAATTAACTAGAACATTTACCACCTTAGATAATTTGTAAACATCAGAATGAACAAACAACTCAGAATGATAATATGAAAGATGGTATTTTTATAGAGTTTGAATAATGCAAAACAATAAATACTATGCACTGTTTAAAGATACACATATGTTTAGGGGAAGTGTGAAAATATGTACAAAAATAATAAACATCAAAATCAGGGTAATAGTTTGAGTGGTTGGCAGGGTAATGGAATCAGGGAGGGATCCACAGGAGAATTTGATTGTTTCTGTCCAGTTTTATTTATTAAACTAAGGGGTAGCTACACATGTGTTATAACCAAATAAATAAATAAAGTTACATGGAACTGACAGTTGTTCCTAAGGTGAAGATCTCTATAGTAAGAAAGCAGGTACCATCTTAAAAGCTCTTTAATAAGGCATACAAAATATCTAAAAATGGGTATTATTATAAAATTAGATGTCAAAAGCAGCATTACTGAATATATAATGTTACTTCCTTCCTGAAATATATTGACTATTGAGGATCAAAATAACTGATTCAATTCACTGTAAGTATAAACTTCTGACAGAAAAAAATATTCAATTCAATCAACATATACGGGACACACACCATGTATTAGCATGAAAGTGCAGGTTAGAAAGAGAGGAAATATTTCTTTTGGCCCCAAGAAATGTTCATAAGTGGCCAACAGTATTTGCAATGTAGATATAAATACATATCAGATTTAACTAGCACAGACACAATTTTAATATTGGTTTTTATTGTCTTTAAGGAAACCCAATTATTAGTAGTAAATTAATCATGATCCTTCAGAGCAACCCACAGTTCTTAAATTGGTAAAACCCTGATTCTAGGAAATACTTCCTTTTGCTTCACAAGTCAGCTTTAAAAAAGTAATGCCATAATAAACATTTGAACTTTGTCCTCATAGCAAATGCTCTGGCCAACACGACAAGGTCCATGCTTGGATGAAAATAAAATTAGAACAACTATCTATCTAATGCAAGAGATTAATTGCACAAGCTGCCCTGTGCCCCTGTGCCTTTAGCAAGTCACTGGTACATAAATAATACCAGCTATAAAAGTCCTGTTAAAAGAAATGGAGGC